TTTTTGTTTTTTCTTTGGTTTTGTTTTACGCCTCAACGGGCGGGCCGGCGGCAGCCGATGTATCTTTTGGTCCCTGAACATGGATTTTTTTCCTCTGAAATATCTTTTTGGGGGACAAGTATTGGTGTCTCTTCAAGCTTTTCCTTGTCCGATTTTTACAAATGGTCCTCCGTCTCAGGCCAGGGCAGCAGCAGCGGCAACAACAAGGGCGCCGGCAGCGCTTGCCATCACGGTGCTTGGCACGGCGCCGGTGTCTGCTGCGGGTGCCGCAAGATCCCCAAAGACAGCGTTGTTGTCCTCTCGCGAGAGAAGAACCTCGGTGCCAAAGGAGCCGCTGGTGTCCGCCTGGTTGCCGCTTTCTTGGAGGTGGCGCTGCAAGAGATCGCCGCTGTTGGTCGAGAAGCTGGCAGTCAATCGGCGACGAGTGGTCACCTTGTAGGCCGGATACTTCAAATCCAAGTTTCCGAGACCAAATTCATACGCACTGTTTTCAATTTTACTAAAATAACAATGCTCCTTGGCGTTACCAGGTTTCGAAGCAGAGCATGTCTCACTGCTTACCTCGGCGCCATTATCGACGCAAAGACATGTAAATAAATTCCCCCAATAGGGGCAACCCAAAATAAAGTAATTCGAACCACTGCAATGATCATTGCATCGCTTCACTTCATCTTCGGTCCCAACAGTGTAATTATCAAATTCAATTTCCTGATAAAGAGAATCAGAAACTGAGATGCATCCCATCTTCGTATACTTTGGGGTTGGGTCGGTGAAGCTCAGCTCCACCGTGCCTGAGCACGTGACGGAAGCTTCATTGGGTGCAATAACTCCAGTATAATAATCGGGAGTCACTACGGTTTCAAAAGACGAAACGCCCGATTCAACAGTGCCATCAGCCTTCTTGTAATTTTCGGGATTAGTGGTGACGGTTGTCAGTGCTTTCGCCTGTCCGGCTTCCACCACCTTGATTGTCTCGGCACACGTAACATCTTCGAACCCAACCACGGCAACATGGCCAAACTCTGCAATCGCATCCTCGGTAGGACTACGCAAAGACAGAGTTTTCTTTTGATGAGACAGGCGAAGACTGAAGCAAATTGTTTGAGCTGCCCCGACCCTATTGAGTTTCGCTAGTACGCAAGGACACATATTTCTTTTGATGACACATGGTTCCTTCGTGGTGTGTATTCTTTTTCTTCGTCTTGTAGAATATTTTATATATGGCACTTTACTTAATTTATTTATGCAAACCGTTTAGTCTAGAAACACATTCTTTTTGTGTGTATTCTTGTTCTTCGTCTTGTAGAATATTTTGTATATGGCACTTTACTTAATCTATTTATGCAAACGGTTTAGTCTAGAAACAAACCCCTGTTTGAGTCTTTTTACCTGCAAAATGTACTTGTGCTCTTTAGTGTCGTATATACCGTACGTCTTTAAAATAAAGTGAGCTTATTCACTATCTATTCGTGATTTAGGCTCACATTCTGTTGCGTCATGTGATTCGGAAGAAAATGATCCGAATCTTGCAACACAACACGCCTGCACGTGACCCAATGAATGATGCATATTGTGACTTGGACACCCCACCGGTACGAGTACCATATGTACGTATCTGCAGGAGCTGATTAGCCGTGGATCCGCGATTTATCGTTGACGCAGRAGTACGTACGGTAGGACTGTATGTAGAGTATGAATGTACACGTTTGGGTTCGTACCAATTCCTGTTGTATGAAGTGAGAAGTACTACGAGCACAGTACTGTATCATACCTAGAAAAGTACTTTATGTTAGCATTACATTCAGTAATGTCGTATCATTTGGTGTTTCAGAAACTACCGTACTACTCCAAGATTACCCTGTACTCTGCGTCTTTATTGGATGCTGAAGAGGCAGGCTAGCGCGGCCGAAATGACGCATCCAGAGGTATTTCTTAATTGAAAACTTGGTAGCGAGCAACAAATCCAATCAGAAAAACGAGACGACAGGTTGCTCGAGGAGGGAACGCTTTTCTACGGAAACAGAACCCAAATAAATACGGCCATCTAGTACAGTACTACCGTACCATAAGAACCGTACAGCATACTGCCATCGGCCCAAGACAAACCAACAAGCCAAAACACGGCAAAAGCAAACAACAGAAGAAAAAGAATGCCCAAGAAAGAAAAACAGAGATCGTTTCGATTTCGATTCGAAATCGTTCCCATGCCCCCGTCTTGCTACACCGTGGAGCGTCATGGGCGGGAAGAAAACGATTGGGACAATAGTAACCGAGAACAAAACGAAGAGGGATCGTGGGATGGGGTGAGCACARCAGCTCTGCTCGGGGAGGTTCCGGGGACGGTGGCACGAGATAAAKGTCGAGAACAAGCGGGGGAAGAAGAGAAAGACCATGGCGAAGACAACAAGCAAGGCGACGACAACGGAAACGGAAACGAGGACAAAGACGAAAACAGCGATGCCAGGGACGTCGTTGAGCGCCGAGACAAAATCCAGGCCCCGGTGGGCGAAGCCGTGAGAAACGACAACGAGATCGACAACGAGATCGACAACGATCCACGAGTCCCCATGATGGCGAGCGTCCTCGAGGAGGTTCGGCGGACGGACAACATTCTCGTGTCCGAGATTGGCAAGAACGAGCTCGTCTTGTATCTCAACCACATACTCGTGGCGGAAGCAAGCACGAGCGAGCKCGGGGTCGGTGGCATCGTCGAGTGGAAGTTCGAATCCGACAAGGTCTTCTACTACGCAATGGAAATCTTCCAGGCCAACGTGATCCACTTCCTGAGGAGCCGGTACTTTGATCTCGAACGCGGAAGATACCGGCCCCGGGAAACTCGCGACGGAGCGGGGGGAAACAGGCACGGCGGTGTCGGAAAGAAAGCCGCCAACGGTCCTGGCAACGGAAGCGCAACGCCGGCGTATCCGCAGCATCCGCATTCCACAAGCGAACACAACYCGAAACCGGAGAGCTGCTACTGGGGCGAAGAGCAGATCTGCGAGGATTTTCGCAAGGTCTTTCACCGGGCCTCCGCGTCGAGGTATTTTCCAAACAAACGGGCCGTAGTTGAATACTGTTTCAAGGACGAAAGGATGGGAAATGCCCCGCAAGCCAACCAGAACGAGTGTGGGAATAGCAACTGCTACTCCAAACCACAATCACAACAAGCTCATCGCCGACAACAAGSACAACAGGAGCATCCTCGTCGTCTTCCCCCATCGTTTTCGATGTCGGTCAGGAGGGCCCTGGTGCGCCTCCATCGCCGGGCCGGGATCTACCTCCCCAATCCCAAGCCTTCTACCACCGCTGCTGCCCTAGGCAAAAACGACAGCGACAGCGATTGTGAATACTGGTTGGCTCTGTGGTGGGTCTGCTCGAGCCTGTGGGTTTGGATCCTCGGGCCCTGCCTGGAAATCCTCCACCACTGCCATGAGAAGCCGCTGCGCCAGAAGGAATTCCGCAAGCGGCAGGGGGAGGACCGGCTCTGCCACGCACGGGACACTGAATCGGACAGTGGAGAGCTGCTCGGGGGCAGCCGCAAGCGACGCAAGCGGACGGCCCTCTCCAGCGGCTTTGCCAAGCAGTCGAGGACCCTCGCCAGGATCCACCTGTACCTGCTACAGCGCGAGCTCCGCAAGCTGGGCCTCCCCTTCGATACGGTGCTGATGCACGGCGGACCGTACGACGGGGGCGAGGGAAGCGACTACGGGGACTCGGAAAACGAAGACGAAGGTGATAATGCCGACTACGGTGGCGATTGCGATGGTGGTCGCTGCAGCGGCCCGACCACWCGGGAGGCCTCTGCCCCCTGCACGGAAATCACCGACGACGACGACAGCAGCGAGCGCAGGGACCGCCAGCGGGAAGCGGCCCGTGGGAACGATACGGATCGGGGGCGCAGGGAGATCCCAGAGCACAAAGAAGAACGAGATGAAGGGCAGGGGCCAGAGCCGGAACAAGATCAAGAAGAACGAAACGAGCCTTTCGGAACCGACCGTGGTGGCGGCAACACGGACGGTGCTTCCCGTGTTTGGTTGAGCGAGCAATTGRTCGGYGAGACGGTGCCCGTATGATGCAACGTTGAGGGGGCTTCGTTCTGTCTGTAACAGCAAACTGCTACATTTACTGCGAGGTTCGGCACCCTTGTAACGACACCAGCATCGCAAAGAGATCCTACTACTGCCAATCGTCGAGAAAAGACGACGAAAGAATCCAGTATCCTTCTCTGCTTCATGCCGCACGGTACGACTAGGAGTATCTACAGAACCTAAGGTAACAAATGATCTAACCTTCGTCATTCCATACGAAATCCCATACCGTGCGATACCGGGACACGGTTTTGTGTCGTGCTAGTGCGTGCTCGTGCAGCTCGTACTGGAATTACAAATAATAATACTCGTACCACGACTCAGGATTTGTGACATGCATCCTTGGACTACGTACGTACTGTACCAGGTACCGTACAGTACTTCGTGCAGTAGCGACACACGTTGACGGCGTTACATTTTTTTGTTTTGCGAGGTTAACCTAGTAACCAGAAGGCACATACCAGAAGCAATGATATAGTTGTACAGCGGACAGAACAGTACTCCGAATACATATGGTACGATACTCATACTAAAACCATCCCGTACGATTGAAACCCATACGGTACTTGCGTCCACCCGCTGTTGAAGTGCATCTATTCYTTAGGCAGTTGGTGACAATGTACATACACTACGTACTTACTGCAGTTGTCAACAACATGCGAATCGCACCGGACGGTACGGTACTCGTACTGATACGATCAAAGCTGGAATGTACGGACGGTTGTTTACGAAGTAGGATCTGCATCAAGCCCTTTGTCAGCGGGGCCTAGTACCGTATGSACACATCTTCCGTGTCAAGGAGAGAAGAAGGGATGCTGCGCAATGCGCGACGGAGCTTCCGGCAACACGGCGACCAAAAATTCAAAATTCCATCCCTTTGGATTTCGCTAAGCCCCCGAACCGCAAACCTCGGAGGTCCCAGGGACCTCGTGTCTGAGATCCCTGGTTCGAGTCACGAGGGCAACGTCATCAGTGAGCTTAGCAGGTTCAMTTCTACGAGAAGCATCGATCACTGGTTGGCAGCACGTACAAGCGAACTACCGCGTCTGGATGAGAACTCCGTCGAGTTCGGGTTGAGTCTGGTGCATCGAACGATCGAATCATCGAGTCGAACCAAACAAAAATCGAAGAACCTGTTCTATTTGCAACCTCTTGCGATTCCACGTCTATGAAATTTCAGCTGCGATTAACGGCATGTTGATGCCGTAGATTAAGCCCTAATTGTTTTTAATGCAGTTGTCACTATTCCTCTCTGTGACTGACGCGAAGAATGGCCTTCTCTTTCGGGGCGGGAGAGGTCCTATTTCGATCGAAAGAATATAATTGGCTGGAAAGGGGTTGTTGGGCTTGCACGACTTGCTGCTGACTGCTGACCTGTTACACGTGAGCACTTTGAAATCTTTGCTGCCACCTGCGCTGCGTGTACCGGTAGGCTTASTGAATACAAGTTCTAGTACTAAGGACTCTACTACAAAWKTTGACCACGGCTGGAAGCATTGCATTGCCACGAGCCGCTCGTCACGCTGCAAAACTCCCGCAACAGAGACACAAACTAACACAAAATTGTTCGGAAGAAAACTCCAGATTTACCGGCAGCATACTAGCATCACGCAATTTGCCACATCATATTCCGAATCGAATCCCCCTCCTTTCTTGCATCCCTGGGCTGATCGTTTCGAACAATCCATCACCGGGCGCTCGGTTCGTATCTTTGTTAGGCAAGCAGACCGCCAGATCGAAGAAGCACCAGTCCAAAGTACTCGAAGACGGATAATATCATCCATCCTCAAACACGGTACCGAACAGTGCGAGTAAGTACGGTACGAGCTCAAAAGCAGGGCAACGCACCAGAATCCGACCAACACAGACTTTTATCTGAAACTTTGATTTGTGATTTGCTGGACACCCACTTTCAATAATTGCAATTTCTTTTGTCCAACTTCCTCGGTACTAGAAACTAATTTYTTGGAAAGATCAATCACTTTKGGTTGGTTCATAAAATCATCCAGGAGGCAAACGGAAAAGCATCAKAACGAATACAAATACCGCGTTCAGAAATTCCCACACCTGCYTGTTGTTTTGTACCTTACGTACGGTACCACTCGCGAAGACCAAGTTCCTTGTTCTTCCCATATTTTAAATTCGATCGACACCTCAAAACACCCTAGACCATGTCGACCGCCATGAAAGCATCGATCCTGGCATCGCGCCAGGCGGCACGCTTGAACCCGCTTCGTTCGTTTGCCTCTACCGCATCGTCGAACTCGATCGTCTTCCACCTGACATCGATCGACCGAGACGAGAAGAACAACCTKTCCGTCAGCTCGCAGCGACGGGCCTTTTCCATCAAGATCCCCAACGCGGCGTCTTCCACCTTTCGAAAGAACGCCGCCCTCCCACCCATCGACGTCGTTTCCAAGTCGTCCCAGAAACACTCCGCCTCCACCAAGGCGGCGGACGACGACGAGAACGACACTCTCTCCAAGGCCCCGGTCAGAAAGGCCGCCTCGGACCAGTCGTCTGGCATGGACATTCTCGGCATCGGCACCATGATTCCCGAGTGGAAGAAGATGTTCAACAAGGACACATTGTTCACGGATGTTTCCGCCGGACTGACGGTGGGATGTGTCGCCGTTCCCCTCAACCTGGCAATCGCCCTCGCCTCTGGGGTTCCCGCCGAGGTGGGATTGGTCACCGCGGCCGTTTCCGGAGTTGCCGCCGGACTCATGGGAGGAACCACCCTCGCCGTGACCGGGCCCGCCGCCGCGATTTCTCTCCTGGTCGTCGGAGCCGTCGAGCAGCACGGATTGGAAGCCCTGCCCCTMATCACMCTSGGATGTGGAGCMCTCCAGCTAGCCTCGGGTGCCTCCAAGCTCGGTGTCGTTGCCAAGCTCTGCCCGGTCAGTGTCATTGCCGGTTTCACCACCGGTGTCGGTACCCTGATTCTCACGAACCAGCTGCCCAAGGCCCTTGGCATGACCGCTCCCTCTGGCCTCAATCCCATTGAGCTCCTTGGATTCATCGGCGAGCATTTTGCCGCCCACGCGAACCCGGCCTCTGCCGCTCTCGCCATTGGAACCTCGGCTGCCATGTTTGCCCTCCCCAAGGTCCACCCSAAGATGCCATCGGCGCTCGTGGCCGTTGGTGGGGCCACCATTGCCACCCACGCTCTTGGACTCGATGTTTCACTGATCGGAACCATTCCTTCCGGACTCGAGGCCTTTCAGTTTGGAATTCCGGTCCTCCCAGAGGTCGGTGCSATTCCGTCGCTCGCCGCCACCACCTTTTTGATCTACAGCATGACCTCGGTTGAATCGCTCCTCAGTTGYGCCGCCCTCGAAAAGATGAAGAAGACGTCGTACAAGCACAACCCGGACCAGGAACTCATCGGACAGGGTCTCGGAAACATCGGATCCGCACTGTTCATGGGTATGCCCGTCACCTCGGTCATTGCCCGATCGTCCCTGAACGCCCGCCTCAACGCCAACACGCGTCTCCCTGCCCTGATCCAGTCCGGTTTTGTCTTTTCCACCGTTGTCTTCATGTCCTCCACCATTGCCATGGTCCCGATGCCCGCACTYAGTGGAGTTCTCATGACCACCGGAATTGGTATGCTCAACCCCGCCGAATTCAAGCACTGCTACGCCGTCCAAAAATCCGACGCGATTCCTTTTGCCGCCACCATTGCCGGTATGGTCTCCATGGGACTCGCCGAGGGCATCGGAATCGGTTGCGCCACCGCCATTGGAATGAACGCCTACCAGACGTACGCCAACAACGCCGCCGCCACTTCCCCCGAGGCCCAGTCCGACAGCAAGATGAAGGCCTTTGAATTGATCCAATTGCCAGCCACCGCCAGCGAGGAGGCTGCCTCCGATGCCATGATCTGGGAAGCCCGCTGCGGTAGCCAGCTTCCCGTCAGTCTTGATGCCCGTGGAATGCACACAATGACTGCAGCCAGCGGTGAAAAGACCTTTGCCGACAGCGACGACGCCAAGATGATTGCCTCGGCCGCCCAGGACCCCACCAGAAACACCATCTGGCAACTCAACGGACCGGTCAACTTTTTGTCCATGTTCGAAATCGACAACATGATCAAAAAGATCGAGAACCGCGATGCAACCACTGATTCGATCGTCGTCGACATGCAGGGCGTCWCCWTGGTGGAATTCACCGGAGCTGAGGAACTCGTCAACCGTCTCATCGAGGCCAGCGACGACTACGGAAGCTGCCCTATCCAGATGATCAACCTGACGCCGGACATCGAGAAGGCCCTGGACCAGTGCGACCCCAAGGGACGCATCGCACGCGTGTCCTACCGCCAATAAAGAAACAAGGGATTTGAGTATTTTGCGAAACGCATACCCCGAACGAAAACGAACWAACTCGATCCGCGCAAGGCATTCGGTTGCCGATTTTGATGAACCTTTTTTGTGATTCCGCCATCGATTTTTTAGAGCCTAAACCAACTAATRACGAAGATGGCGAGAGTCGTCCGGAACAATATGATGGTATCGACTGCTTCGTGTACGAACAATCTTTCAATGACGTTATGTGTAAAACTATCTGTTGCCGCTCAATCGACAACAAATCAGTACTTCCTCTAATGACTAAAAAAAATAAAAATGACATGTATTCGCGACAAGATTACAATCGATGCTACTGTATAAATAATGATAGATGTTAAAGAATTACTTGCAACGGAGCCAACGATGCGCAATGAGATAGGACGACAAGGCTTCAAAGGAGATTGAGAACGCAAATAAAACGCTGATGCCGTTTGTCGCGGCAAAACAGTCTGTCGTTGCGATTCGACTTCGATACGAGCGGGAGGACGCGGGATGTCACGGTGCGGCAGGTTCTCTGGCAAGAGATAGACACCCCGCGGTCGACGGAATCTCGAGATCGATGATCTTGGTGATCAACTACCAGGTACTGTACTCACTGCCGCTGTTCCTACCGGTAGAGGTACCGTACCGTATGATCATTATCCATGAAAGCACCCTCGCGAAGCCCCCCTCTTTCTACCCTGTCCCCCGAAAAGCATGCGTGCCGACATATCCCCTCGTTTCGCACGCCAACGTCACACACAGTCACAATAACTCTGATCTGCTCTCGGTGAGTGAATACAGTACGAGCAGTACGTACGTACGTACGTACGTACTCTATGGAAAATTCCGTACATTTTTTTAAAAAAATGAACTTCATCCGGCGACAAAGATTTCTCGTGCGTCCACATCAGAGACAAAACGCAAAAGCAAGCTGCTATTGGCCAAGACGACTGGTTTTTGAAAATTCCCAAATAGGCCTTGAAAGGGTACACAGGGCGTTAACATTGTTTGACTTGTTGTTGGTGTGATACCAAAGAGTAGAACATAATCGACCTCCACTAAGTGCATATTTTCAACGCATTACGTTACAATAAATCACAATGGCATTCGGACGAAAAGGACCAAAGATTGTGGAAGCACCTCCAGTAGAGGACATTGCGGATCCCACCGCCTGGATTTTGGACAATGAGTTTGCCAACTTTGTGCTCATGAACACCCATGAAATCGTGAGTCGCGKTCGCGGTCGTTGTCATTTCGCTTCGCTGGATGCCTGCCTGCGGTGTCACGAGAGCACTCTAGCCAGTTGCTGCCAGCCAAAGCCAAATCTTAGGTCTTCGTTGCATGTCGTTCTTATTCTCACGAAGCGTCGTTTTCTTTTTCCTTTTGACTGACTCCCTCTCTTCCGCTCGTGATGTATCGCTGCCCCTATTACCAACTGTCTTTCGTATCGGAAACCATTCGCGCTACGCAACTGGTTACAATACCATRCAATGAAATACACCGCAACGATTAAACCTATGTAGAAATATATGTGCATGATTGGSTACACCTTCTTGCACGGCTGCAAGGTCTTCAAAAAGTTCAAGCCCGACGCCCCCTTTTCCTACAAGCTCGTCAACTTGGCCATGGCATGCACGGGCGGCGGAATTTTGGTCCCTATTTTCCTCAATACCGTCCCCGTTACGCTTTCCATCGACGCCTATCCGATCGCAATCATGATCTCGTACCTGCTCCACACGTACATTCCCAGCCTGCGAGAGGTCCTGGAGCTCTCCGGAATCTTCAAGGCGGTGGTCATTCTCTTCTACGAGAGCATCCGCGCCTACGTCGTAACCCTRTTCACCGGATTAGCAGCTTCTACCATTGCCGCCTCCCAGTTTTCCTTCCCTGTCTTTGGGCCGATTATTTGCGGAACAATCGGTGGATGCGGTGGCGCCTTTTTGCCTCTCGACAAGGGTCTTGCGCCCCTCCATGACGGTCTCCCTGCTCCAGTSTTTTCGGCGTTTGTTGGGGCAACCTTTTTCCACCTTTTCACCCAGCTTTACGCCGAGGAAGTTGTCGACTGCAAGAAAAAGGGCAAGGTTATTGTAGCCYTGTGGTTCATCATCTACGCCTACGTCAAGGCGGGTCTTTTTTCCGCCCCATCGACCAAGGCACCAGAAGCACCAAAAACTGAGGTTAAGGAGGCTCCCATCAAGGTCGAAAAGACCGAATGAACGGGCTTGAAYGAAAGAAAATAGAGCTGCGAAATAGGGGAGCACGATCCGGTTGCGATCTGCTCCTTGTGGAATCAGAAATGTATCCGATTCTGTTTCGTCTGTCTTGTTACGACACAGAATGCATCGTGCGGTAGCRTATATGTTGCACATTGTTTTGTGCATTGAGTATTGAGTGGAGTGGAAGATGTTGCAATAAAAATCAATCCGCGACATGCCATCAATTAAGAKTACTCAAAAGGAATGCCACGTTCGGTTCCTTTATCTCTTTTGTGTCGTGTCAGGAGAGTTCATCTACCGAGTGCCGTAATTGCACTACAAACTTACTACAAGCTATAATTTATAATCAAAATGATAAGAKATTGTGATAGCGACTCGCAGATAGTGGGATGGTAATTGGTAAACACAGTGGTTCTCTCATAAGGGGAGCGAATCGGTCGGTCTCTTGTTTTCATTGCTCCCTCGTTGCAAAATGGTAATTGCCACGAYTGRACTGACTGCCRTGCCGGTATTTTTTTCGTGGGTCTGATCATTAGGTTTGGTACTCGTCGTTGCTTAACTGCTGGGCATTGAACCTGCAAGCAAGGCTACGCTGTTGCTTCTCTGAAAATACAACAGGCTTCCTCTCGCGCTAGCATACCAWTCGAATCGCCATGCGAAGAATGAAACTACAGGACAGAACCGTGGGTTCGTCTATTCCTCATGGCACGGCACTGTGATGGAATGTGGTACAATGCAATGACTACAATTGATTTGAAAATAATTGGTAATTTTATTAGTTTGCGATTACACAACATGGATCGATGGATTAGTGAATGCAATCGGCGACSATCCGCGAGACGGCAGAGTCGTCGGATCGGACGGCGATCTTGAGGATAACCCCACCGGTGGGCTGCATGGCCACCTGGGCCCGGGCGAGGACCTGCGACCCGGTAACAAAGGCACCGGACATATGCAGCATGTGAGGCTTGGCCCCGGAAAGGTTTTCTGGCTTGAGCTGGCCCGTTCCGTCGCAGGGCTGCATACCCAAGAAGGAGATGACGGCCGCCAGGGCCTCATCCATCTTCTTGAACTGGAGGGCGAACTTCTCGAGAACCTCGTTGCCGTTGCCGGCAGTCTCCCAGGCCTTGCGGAAATCGGGAACGGTGACCTTAGCCATGAAATCCGAGGTGGATATCTCAAGGTCTTCCAGAGGATATTCTTCCTCAAAGGTTCCGCCTTCTTCCTCGCCGGTGGAAGGATCRACCTCCACTACCGTGAATCGGAGCTCACAGGTAAAGTTACTCGTAGTCAATGGCAATGATTCGTCAGTGTTGCGTTCCAGAACTGTAAAGCAGTTCTTGGTTTCTCCGTACGAGACTCCGTCCGTGGCAATYTCTCCAGAGGCCGTAAAGACCTCAGATTCGCTATCATCGATAAGAACGGTAACATTGTCGAGCCGTTGTTCCTCGATCGTATTTTGGACACTGAATTGTAGAACCACATGGCTCTGGAATATGTGTTTCGTGCATTGGACRACGTACTCGGTTTCCGACTCGGTGAGCATGACGGGGGCCGCCGAYCGGAAGGCTCGCCCGAGCGAGGCCAATTCGGGAATGGCGTAAATAACCGCTGCGGGGTCGACGCTTTCCTTTTTCTTGGCGGGTTGATCAAAGCCAGCAATATCATCGGTAAAAGCGTCACCTCCTCCCATGGCGGCAACAATTTCTTCCGCGGTGTCCTCGACAATCGGTAGCGTCTCAAAGGTAATGGCATCAGGCGACTCCATGGACACTGGTGTGTTTAGATAGGCAGTCATGCTACGCTCCAATTTCTCAAAGGTCATGGGCATGGACTCTAGCAAGGCGTAAGCAGCGGCATCGCCGTCGACCGGAACATCATCCGGAATATCCTCTGGCTCGGCGTCCTCAGGTGGTGGGACGTATGGGTTGGCTTCCATGGCGGCTTCCAGAATCGCAACATTGAGAGCGGCGCGGTCCCGTGTTTCGTCGTCTTCGTCGTAGAGCGATCGCTTTAACAAYGTGAGGATAGAGCTGCGCAAGGAAGGACAGTTGGCGGCAAACTTTCCGAGGGCGCTGACGGCGGCAGCACGTACGGCGGCATTCTCTAGAATGACCCGGTTGTAGATGAAGCGAATGTATCTGGCGGGGGCACTCGTTGTGGGTCCAAGTTCACCCAACAGGTGCAAAATTTCCGTAGAAAGACGGGTGAATTCGCAATCCTCGATAAATTCGCACAGGTGCAACAAGGACGATTCGGTGGTTTCGGGAACCTGTCGAATGAGGGAAATGATGGAAGAGACGATGGATTTCTTGAAGTCGAATCCTCCCTCTTCTCTCAAGAAGTTGGACATGAAACCAACCAATACCCGGTGCTTGGCGGGGTAGGTGAGGCACAGTTTCTGGAGACTCTTGACGACGGTAATCTTGAATTCGTCAGCGATTTCGGTCAAGAAAGCAGAAATCTGTTTGAGGAGTCGATCGATGGAGTTCTCTGACCCRGTCTTAAGCAGGGTGGTAATCGCTAGTGTGGCAATGGAACGGTTGGGATCTCCGAGTAGCGATTCCAGGTCTTCGTTGCACTTGGACACGACACGAGGCTGAGTGTTGGCGAGCTTGGCGAGCGTTCTCATGGCCGCGTATCGGGTAGCGGGCTTGCTGGAGCTCAARAAGAGTTGCAAGACTGAAACGGCTCCGCTCAGGTCCTGCGGTTCAGCTCCAGGAAGGGAACAGATGGCACGGGTTGCCTCGTAGACAACCATCTCAGATTTGTGCCGGAGGGATGCCTCGAGGAACTGGTATCCCTGCTGGACAGCGGGGGATCCGTCCTGCTTGCTGCCTCGTCCGTCTGCAGATTCGTCGTGGATGAGCTTGGCAGTGTATCGGACCAGCAAAACCAAAGCCAGGGGGGATCGCAGAGTGTTTCTCGAGCTGAACTGGGAGACCAACTTAGAGATTCCGAGGCGATCGTGTGCCTTGATTTGGTACAACAGCTGCATGGCGTGGAATTGCACCATTTCGTTGGCCGACTGGGTCGCTTCGGTCGTCTCGGTGATCCATCGCTTGACAATGGTRGCACATTCAGGGCTGCTGTTGTACAGATGCGAGGCAGAGACSAGTGCGGAACTCGACACCAGGGGAGAAGAATCCACGAGGGCCTGCTTGACGTATCGCTCGATGGATCCGAGAATGGAGGCATCGACGATACGGGCCAGGACACGSAGGGCGTTTCCTCGGTACAAGTCGGCATCACTGTTCATGTCTTTTGTGAGGCATTGAATGACAATGATAATGTCGTCGTGTTCGCAGGTTTCGGCAACATCCTTAATGAACAAATAGACCATTCGTCGCAACGAGGCATCGTCGCTCATGAACAATTTCGTAACGCCAAAAAAGACCTCGGTTCCCTCCGTCGAGGTCATGTACTGCCCCGTGTTTTGGAGGTGCAACAGCTGGGCAATKACAGTGCAACATTTGCGAGGATTTTCCCTTACGACCGTGGGGTCGTGGAAGACTCTGTATGGGAAGGAATTGGGAAGGAATAAAGGGTAAACAATCGAATAGTATTTTTGGATGCCGTCGGTGATGATTTGTTGTTGTGTAGTATCGGATGGTGTCGTAGTKTTGCGATTTCCAATGTTGTCGTCAGAGTTTGAATTCAATTTCGATTGTTCATTGTTCAATATGATTACGCAGTTCGATAGTTAGGTCACATAATCATATTTTACAAAACCCGAGACAGTCAACAGSGTAGCAAGAAAGAAATGATGAAGAAATAGTAGAATCAAGAGAAATGCATAGTTGGAGGTAAGAGGTGGAAACAGCAACAGTAGCGACTCATGTTTTCGAAGGTTACATTCATCCCGGTCGGTGGCCATTTCAATTCCGCTTTCTACATTCAAATATTGATAACACCCGAACTTAACAGCTCGGCTCGCAGAGCATCAATACAATCACKACTTGAAGACCGTGCTAACGTAACCCTAAAATGTTCCGTTCGGAAATCTAAATACAGCTTCAAATTCTTTTTGTTTCGTTTTGCTGCATGCAACGTACCTAGCCTCTTGCAAGACGGACGCCTTTTCGAGGTGGGCATACGGGGAGAGATATTGCTCGTCATCTTCCTTGAATTTTTCGGCCAGATCCTGGACTTCGCGGAGCATCGAGAAGCCTCCCTGCTCGTCCGACATTGTAACTRTGTGCTTTGTTGTTGTGTGTTTGTTTGCTTGCTTGCTTGCTTCTTTGTCGTGCGCTTGTGGTTGGATGGAGCGTSTCCGAGTGACCTTGGTTGCTGCTTTGATAGCAAGTGGCTGCTCCGGCAAGTGGTAATGCTATTGGTGTATCGATTGCTCCAAAAACGGTCATTTATTCATTACTGACTGCACGTGACAGAAACAAGCGTTGTCGTCGTTGCTAGTGAGGYTATCCCGTTGGTCCTCTACGGCGAATGACCGTCCGTGAAAACCGAATTGAAAAATCCTTTTTTCTCTGCGCGATAGTTGTTGTTTTGTCGCGCGACAATTTTTACTTGTTAGGATTAGGGTTACTCCATCTCATCCCATGCGTCATCGGGCACAACCATGCTTTCCGATGTTGTATCGTTTGTTTTCTCGTCCTTTGGCCCCGCAGAAGGGTTCACTACTACTAGATTCAMTACTAATATGGTACTGGGTACTTTACGGTACGAGTACCATACCAGTAGGGGGACTGAAGTATCGGCAGGAGCAGAAAGCAGTTGGGAACAAATCTTYCAACAACACAGATGTTCCAGACACTACAACACCACAGCAAGGCTTTCTGAATTTGAACACCAAAACACGGTTTGTTCGCAAGAATCGGAAGCTACAACACCATTCAACAAATAATGYCTAGGCGTGGTCCGTCATCGCCCACGAAACACGTCCTATTTCTTGCCTGCTGCTGCTGTTGCAGACTTGCCGTTCTAGCAGTCCTGTCCGGTCCACCGACGCTGGGAGTTCTTGCCTTTGCATCTACCAGTACTTCCAGTACAAGCACCCGCCCCGGAAGCTTCAGTACCCTAGGGATGACCCCCACCGAAACCCCTCCCGTTCCCTCCGAAGCAACCACCAGCGGCGACATGAGGTTCGGAAAGTTCCTCATTCCAAACGCCAGCGTCTTTTGCAGAACCCCGGCGTCTTCGACCGGATYGCCGTCGCCCTCGGCCGCCGCCTTTGCCTTTGTCAATCTCCGGCCAATTGTTCCGGGCCACGTCCTGGTGGCGCCCRTCCGGGTCGTCCCCCACCTATCGGACCTGACCGAGGAGGAATACACCAACCTCTGGGGCCTAGTCCGGACGGTCCAGTCCGTCCTCAAGAAKGCCCATGCCGGAACGACGGCCTTCAACGTGGCGGTGCAGGACGGCCGGGCCGCGGGGCAGTCCGTCCCCCACGTCCACGTCCACATTCTGCCGCGGAACAGCAAAGACTTTGAGCGGAACGACGACGTCTACGACGCCTTGGAGGCCTGGGCCCCGACGGAGGCAATGGCCAGCGCCAAAAAAGACGAGCCATCCACCGACATGGAGGTCCCGGACGACGCCGATCGAATGGACCGTACGGTCCAGGCTATGGCCGATGAGGCCGCGGTCTACAGGGGCTTGCTCGGTGATGGAACCAGCGAATAGGWGAGGGGAAAATACCGCTTCCCCTGGAACCAAACCAAACCAATCGCATCGCATCGCAGAGACATCGAAACGAAAATTCAGGGAACAAAAACAAAACAGCGAAATGTGTGGTGTGGATTGAAGATGGTACCACTTTTGGTAATTGATACAGTAGTCDGAAAAATTTGCAGAAGGTGCTGTTACGAAGAAAGATATTTGCGTCAAAAAATAGTCTTTACGGATTATGCCGCGCTGGCCTTCGAATGGAACCAGTTTCCAAGCCTCGTGACACGGTCTCGCTGRCCAATGATTTGTATGTTCCAGAATCCGAAGGACACTCTAGAACATCGCCGGCGTCGTCTCCGGGCAATAACTATAACTTTCTTGTCGATAGACAGGAAGTAATGATCGGCTATAACCACCTGTTTTTCGTTTTGAACCCTTTGAACGTCGAAGGGTTTGTCGGACCGGTAGACGTTTTCGTCGAACTTGCGTCCGTACCAGCGAAAACCGTYCGAGGGGTGCACCCCGGCGCAGTGGCAAAATTCGTAGAAGAGCTCCAGTGACCGGAATCCGTAGTGGCAACCTTTCCGTTCCTCCCAGACCCACGAATCCCACAGTTCGTTCGTGTCTTCGATTTGCCGGAGGCCCCGGTCCACGTTGGCCTCGAGCCGAGAAACCGGGTGGGTGGTGCTCAAGCTCGAGCCTATCTCGCAGCCTTTGATTGACCCTTTCCTCTCAATCATAGTGAGGACGGTGAGTGTGTGCTGTTCGGCACGGACGAGTTCTCCGATTCCCTTCAGCTCGGGAAGTTTGCATATAAYGCTCAGGTCACCGTCTTTGTCGGAAAGGAATCGCACAATGTTCAACCACACAAATGAAAACTTGTCCTCAAAGCTCTGTTTTCCTTCGTTAACGATTCCCCGGCTATGTTCCTCGTCCGCAGTCATCTCTTTGACGATTGGCTTGTCCACCGTCCCGGTTTGTGTTTGCCACCATATTGTTGTTCCACAAACAATAAGAACGCAAAAAATTGCTATKCCTACTCCACATTCCTCCATCTCCATTTTAGAAGCTCAGAGATTGTCATACGAATGATGTTGTTTATCAAAGTTAGCATCTCGCTTGGTACGATATGCTTTTCTTCGCCTTTGGCTTTCTTGNTTCTGTGGTAGGATCTCCACTGCCCTGGAATAGTTACACCTGGTGGTGGTTGGGGAGGCCCTCCAGGACGTGGCCTTGCTGTTGTTGCTTGGCTACTATCAACACTCTCATCTCCATCATTAGCACCAGGAAAATCATCAGCAAGAAAGTCCTCTTCACCACCAAGAATATCAGCACCACCACCAGCAAAGTAAGGATCCTCGTCCTCTTCATTCTCTTCTTCAGCATCCATTACTCTGATGAGTTCTTCCAAGGCAGCAGCAGCTTGTTGTTGACCTTCTTCAGCACCATCTGCTGCAGTACTAGTATCAACGCGTCTACGAACAACGCGTCTGCTTCCTGCAACAATACTAGCAGGTCCTCGTCCTCCAGCAACGCCTCCAGTAACACGTCCTCCAGCAGTAACTCGTCCTCCAGCAGTAACTCGTCCTCCAGCAGTAACTCGTCCTCCAGTAACGCCTCCAGTACTAACGCCTCCAGTAACGCCTCCAGTAACACGACGTCCTCCAGTAACACGACGTCCTCCAGTAACACGACGTCCTCCAGCAACGCCTCCAGGAGTAACGCGTCCCCCTCCAGTAACGCCTCCACCAGTGGTAACAACGCGTTCTCCAGTAACGCCTCCAGCAGCAACAGTAACACGTCCTCCAGCAACGCCTCCAGTAACGCGTCCTCCGCGTCCACCACTACTAACAACGCGTCCGCGTTGTTCGCGTTGCTGTTGCTGAGCGGCTGCTGCTTCTTGTTGTTCTTGTTCCTCCTCCTCACGTACTTCACGTGCAATTGTAAACAAGTTTGGGGGGGGAAGTGCTTGCTGCATTCTTCTTGTTCTTGCTCCTCCACCACCACGTCCTCCGCGTCCTCCGCGTCCGCGTCCTCCGCGTCCGCCTCCGCGTCCGCGTCCTCCACCAGTAGGCGCTCCTGGTGGTGCTGGGGGTGCTGGGGGTGTCATTGTTAGCAGTTTCTTTATTGCTTTGCTTTATTGCTTTGCTTTATTGCTTTGCTTTGCTTTGCTGCTTTGCTTTGCAGTCGAAGTTTTTGTGTGAAGGACCCACCACATGGCACAGTACACGTGGTTGTATTATTGCACACTCTACGTACGTTTTAAGGGGAATCAACGGTCGAAAATGCAACAAAAAACGCTGGTGAATCCTACCAGTAAGAAAAAAAGCAATACTGTTTTTGTTACTTAATTTACACACAAATTATTGTATACTGTTTCAAAAACAGAGATATTGGTCTCCGTACATACGAATATATGGGGTAGGGCTATTCAGTATTGTTTTTGGGTTGCATCGAGGCAATTACGATAATGCAATTTTAGTTGCAAAATACGGATACTGTAATTGTATCGCGAGATAAGTCAAAAAATAAATATATATATATAGATAATCCTCACTCCTCGGCAGCTGACACCGTGGCCGAGTGGTTAAGGCGACAGATTCGAAATCTGTTGGAGTTCCTCCGCGCAGGTTCGAGTCCTGTCGGTGTCGCTGAYATGTCGACTTGGTCTAGGGGCATGATTCTTCCTTAGGGTGGAAGAGGTCCCGGGTTCGATTCCCGGAGTCGACCTTTTTGACGATGCGGCGCTCGACCAACATTCTGTTTCAGCTACATTCAAATTMTTTTGCTTCTTTTGCTACTCATTAGTTTGAATCCATACCTCATAACAACTTTCTCAATGGGTATCTACTWCCAAATATGCACTGTAGTTTTATCTTCTTCCAACATTGAATTTCCTCCATCATCAGTTTTGAACTATTATAGGCTTGGCAGAGTGATTCTGGCCGAACCATTCGTGCATTTTTACTAACCACCATATTCATACTACACGTATATTGATATGTTCCACTACTAGGATTCGYCAACTCTCCCATATGACTAGAATTCTCTTTTTACTGGAAATTGATTCATGTGCTTGCCATACTTAAGGGGCCTTTGGGGACAAAGTTATATTGATTAACGTGAGTTGAACCTCTTGTTGCTGTGGTCCGTAGGATATCAGACAGTGGGTATGACTCATATATACTACTTGTTTTTCTACTGTACATCAATTTTGGGCCATCTAATTACCATGTAATGACTCAYGGTGGGAGTAAAAATTTGGATTTGTACTACAGGTACAGCAATAGCACGTGTTGAAGCAAAAATCAGCAGTTGGAGGGCACACTTGTGGGACTCAAAAATTCAGCACAAGCCCTGCTGCCTGTACCTTAGTAGTCAAAGTAATCATTAGATAGGGGRAAAGGGCCTAAAATGTAAAACTAGTTTGTACATTGGTTTGCCACCTCTATACAATAAATAATAATGGCAACAACAAGAGTACTGCTACTACTACTACTACTAGTACCATTGTAGTAATAGTAGTACTACTACTAGCATCAGCTATTAGTACAAGTACTACTAGTAGGTCATGTTATGCAAGACATATCAAAGCAAATTCTTTAATGCTACTAGTACCAGTTACTGTACCTTTGCTGCATGAAGGCAACGTCATGATCAACTACTTGAAGTAGTAGTAGTAATAGTAGTAGTAGTAGTAGTACTACTACTAGTACTAGCTAGTAGTAGTACTACTACTAGTAGACTAGCGTTACCACTGGCACTACAATGACATTGTTGGAAAGATTAATATATTTTTTGTGGTTTCTCTCAGCTCTTACTATCACATTGTATTGCTGCACCTCAGACTATTCCACTGGTGGCTTTATTTCTTCAGTCAGAACTTCTAATGGGGGTAGAACAAACTTAAACTAGTAGGACTGGTGATTGTGTACTATTTCCTGTTGCCAGGAAATACTTCCTTCAGAAAAATCAACCAACTTGAAATATATATTCACTCTTGCAATCTCCTGGGCACTGTAGTAGCTGCTGGTCAAATTAAGTATTCAGATTTCTTGACACATATCTTCTTGCTATTCTTCAAGGCTTCGCCTCCTTCTTGCTGGATCTCCTAGTACTCCTGCTTTGAATCCTGTTTCCAGGTATCTTTCCCTCCTACCAGAAACATCCTTCCTCAATCTAGTAGTGATGATGGYTTTGGCTTACTGCTTAGCTAATACTGCTCTAATATCATTGACTGTGTCATGATCACAGCTCCCTTGCCTGTTGCATTTTTTCTATGACAGTAGTAGGATAAATGTTGGTGGTATAGTAGTACAATGATTCTCTTTCTGATGACAGCTAACACTACTAGTTCATTTGGTAAGTCTTATCTGGCAACACCAATGAGTAGAAATGGGAAGAATATGAAAGGAATGCTGGTCACCAAAATAACATGCAGCAAAGCAATTACTGGATCCRAAATCATCACTGGTACAAGAACAAGAAAAGAGGAGGATCATCATGATACTAATTATTGAAGAGGAGGAGGAAGAATTATCHTGATTACAACACCAGATACCAGCCCACACAAGGACARAAAAATTAACAGCAAAATTGACAACAAAAGAAACACCAGTACTACTAAAAACAACAAGAACATCATCAACAACAACATCATACATRTAGTAATTCCAGATTGTAGTATGGTGTTGGAAGCATTATCATAACAAAGTAGTTTTGTTCTCATCTATTAGTATAACAAGGGTTTGATAAACACTTGATCTGGGAACTAGGGTTTCCATAATCCTGTCTCAATATGGCCCATAAAGTCAACAAAAGGTGCTRCTATTRAAGGCAACAGGGGTACAAGAAGAATAAGTGCCAATTKTAATAACTGATATACACAATAAATAAGTTCTTATACCATRGAAGAGATTAAACTTGGTAGATGTACAATTAAGATAGTCTTCTTTGTTCTTACAGTGATTGTGCTCTTGGGTTTGCCAGGGAAAACTTTCTTACTCTTGCTATGTTTGTGTCTTTTTGTGTTATTCTTTGCACTTTTCAAAATACGTGCTGTTTAAAGGTAAAAAGATCCATCCCATGAAACTCAGAATACTACTCTACTAAGGGGTGACACTCTTGCTAGTACAAAGAAGCTTGATCAAGACTCTGATATTATGACTGCTATTACTATTGATCAATTGAAAGAACTACTGGAAAAATGCAGAGAATAGCTTGAATGGGGCTGATGAAAATGCCACCTTTGTTTACTTGTTTTGTGAAAGTAATTTTCCCACAGAAATATGCTG